TCATTGAGTCATGAGTCATTTGCAAATGACTTGAATTCTAAATGACACGGAATGACCGGTCATTTCAGCATGACTTCAGGTCATTTGAAAATTAGTCAAATGACCTAGTCATTTGTCATCACTGCTATAACAAATTATTTAATATATATAATGAATAATTTGTTATAATAATGTCATACAATTAGATTAATCAAATAGTTCAAATAATCATATAATGATAAGATAAAATAAATTATTTATTTTTTTTATTTAAATTTTTTTAACATAATATTTATAATATAAAGTTACTAAACATTTTTGATTATAATTATTATATAGTCTTTTCATTTCTTTATTAAAAAGAATTTTGTAATAATCATAATTTCATTTAATGTTTTATAACTTCTTTTTTTAATTTTTTTTAATTTTTTTTTTGTTTATAATTTCAAATAGAAAGAAAGATTTTTTTTATCATTTTTTATTTTTTTTTGATTTTTTTGATTTTTTATTTTTTTATTTTTTTTTAAGACCAGCCTTCTTTGGATTTTGAAAACTAACTGATAAATTAATTTTCTTCTTCTTAAAATATGTGAGCTTTTTTAAAAATATTTATTAATGTTTTTTTCTTTTCTCTTTTAGGACCAGTTTTTCTTTAAATCTTAAAAATTAACCAGTAAGTTTAATTTCTTTTTCTTGAAATAGGTAAAATGTTTACTATATCCTTTTTTATTTTTTTTTATAGAACTGATTTTCTTTAAAGTAACATTTATTTTTCAAAATCTTTATTGTATCAAAAAAAAATTGTTATAAATAAATTAATTAAAAAAGGATTATTTTAAATATATATGTTTATAAAATTTTTCTTTATATATTATTAAACAGCTTTTAACTAGTAAAATTCAATATAACAAGGTTTTTTAAAATATATTATATTAAAATTTGTTGTATTGTAAAATTTGTTATATTAAAATTTATTATATTAAGAGTTAATTGTACTGTACTGTTAAAAGGATAAATATGATTTAACTAAATATATTAATAAATTAAAGATTTATCATATAAATAAAGTTATTTAAGTCTGATTTAATAAAATAATACCAATAAAATAATTTTAAATCTCTATTGATTTTAATAATAAATTATTGTAATTCAAATAAATTCATATTTAAAGAAAATAAGTTAATTAGTTTATTATTTGAAATAGACATTGAAAAATATAATTTGTATTTAATAAAATAAAATTATATTTATTTAAAGATAATACTATTAATTAAAAATAAAACTCAATTCTTAATGTTAAAAATTATTTATTAGTAAGAGATTTATATGAATTTAATATTAATATAATTTAAAAAACCTATATAAAATAACAAACTATTTATTATGATAATTAAATTACATTATAATTTACATTTCTTAAAATCACTAGCAACTTTTTAAAAAAAAAAAAAAAAATAGAATTTTAAAAATAAATACAAATGATGCTGGCCAAGGAGTCACGTGAAAGTAAATTTGTAAACTTTCTTTTATCTCTTTTGGAATTCCCAGTAATTTGAAAAATTAGTTTTGGAACACTCTGAAGTTTAATTGACCTATCGTTAAAATAAACGAACCCGATATGAATTCATATTAAAAAATTATTATATCGATCGCATCATGTGCTACTAGAAAGCAATACATGAATTTCTCGTGATTATAGTCTGACTGGGCAAATCAATTTTGGATGTGATTATCATCGTATGGGAAAAATTTTCTTATAAATATAAGGTGAATTCGATAACTTAAATTTATTTCTGCTTGATAACGATAACAAACATGTCATCATTTATTGGTTCAATAGATCAAGGAACAACTTCTTCCCGATTTTTGATATTCGATTCAAAAGGCACTTTGGTAACTTATCATCAAGTCGAGTTTCCTCAATACTATCCTAATCCTGGGTAAGTTATTATAAATACGATGTCCTCCTCCAGTTAACAAAAAATTGGAAAGAAAATAATCTAATTAGAAGGATTCATTATTAATTAAATGTCTAATGGGTGAACACTTATGTTTATTTTTATTTATTTTTTTTCTTTGTGGTGAAAGTTGGATTGAACATGATCCTACTGATCTTCTCGAAACAGTTTATAAATGTATTGAAGAAGCTCTAAAAAAATTTGTGAAAATGGGTAATGCCATTACTGATATTAAAGCCATCGGTATTACAAATCAGAGGGAAACTACTCTTGTTTGGGACAAGCAAACTGGGAAACCTCTATACAATGCCATTGTATGGTGTGATGTTCGTACGCATGATTTAGTGCATGAATTAACTGCTAAATCTGAGTTAGGAGTTAACGCATTAAAGGAAGTTTGTGGACTTCCTATTTCCACCTATTTTTCAGCAGTAAAACTCAAGTGGCTTCTTGACAATGTGCCCGCGGTTAAAGAAGCTCATGAAAAAGAGACCATATTAATGGGGAATGTCGATACTTGGCTAATATATGTAAGTTTGCATCATTGATTGATTACGCAGTGTGTATTCTATAACAATATTATTAAATCAACTTTGGTTCGCATAGAATTTAACGGGCGGAATTGATGGTGGAATGTTTCTCACAGATGTAACAAATGCCTCTAGAACTATGTTGATGGATATCAAGAAATTACAATGGAGTGAACAATCACTTAAATTTTTCGGAATTAAAAAATGCGCTCTTCCACAAATATATTCTTCTTCAGAGAAATATGGTGATATCAAAATAACCGATTTAGCGGGAATTCCAATCGCTGGTGTCTTGGGTGACCAGCAATCTGCCTTGGTAGGACAAAAATGCTTCCGACGTGGGGAAGTAAAAAACACTTATGGAACAGGGTGTTTTATGTTATTTAATACTGGTACTGATCCTGTGATTTCCAAATCTGGTCTACTCACCACCGTAGGTTATAAGTTTGGTAAGGAGGACACTGTGTACGCTCTTGAAGGTTCAATTGCTGTCGCCGGTTCAGCAATCAAATGGGTTCGTGATAATTTGTGTATTATAAACGAAACGCATGAAATTAATAATCTTGCCGCTTCCGTTAAAGACACTGGTGGTGTCTATTTTGTAACGGCCTTTTCTGGCTTGTTCGCTCCTTACTGGCGTGATGATGCACGTGGTTGTATCGTTGGGATCACCCAATACACAAACAAATCTCATATTGCCCGTGCCACTTTAGAAGCGGCTTGCTTCCAAACACGTGCAATTTTGGATGCTATGAATAGCGATTCAGGTCATCCTTTAACTTCTCTTAAGGTAGATGGTGGTATGACAAATTCGGATATTTGTATGCAGATTCAAGCTGATATTCTTAGAATAAATGTTGACCGTCCAGCAATGAAAGAGACCACTGCGCTAGGTGCAGCCATGGCAGCTGGCCTTGCTGTTGGCATATGGAAATCTTTGAGTGAATTAGATGAAGTTAATAGTAAAGATCGAACAACCTTTTTTTCCTAAAATGTCTGAAGAAGAAAGTGAACAAAAATACAAAGCTTGGCAAAAAGCTGTTGAAAGAAGTTTAGATTGGGTGATTTAGTTTTAAAATAATAACTTCAATTTCGGTTGTTTAACATGAAATCCATTGACTTGTACAGTTAATATTGATCATTATTAATTTATTTTTATTTTTTTTATTCTTTTATATTTATTTTGTAATATTCAAAAAGAGACTTGGTTTACATTTAACCTCATTTAAATTTTCTTTAACTAAGAAAAAATGATTATATCGCCTCAAACTTATATGATTCATACCAGTCGTGCCATATCTTACGTAATTGGATCTTTATATCATCACAACCAAATATATAATCAATGCTTTGAAATGAAAGTTCGAATAAAATCTTTGGACTCAAAGAAAATGTTGAAGCAGCAATTACATATTCATTGGAAAGATCCGAAAAGAAAACGCCTATTATAATACAAAATCATCGTTACAGGAAAAGGATTAACAAAAATTTTAAACAATCACAAAATTTCAGAAAGTTTTAAATATTACCTTTATCATCAGTCTTGTAGTCAATAATAGGTAAAAAAATAAAAAATAAAATTTGATTTAAAAAGAAAGGATGATTTATAAAAAAAAAAAAAAAAAAAAAAAAAAAAAAAGTGTCAACGCATTACTTACACAAATACAACATGGATAATTCAATGATAAAAAATCTTGAATATGATGCTCTTGATAATTTTTAACCGTATTGCATAGCAAATTTGAAGTCATACACATTTCTATTGGAATATATTTTGCATAGATAAAATCCCTTGACTCTGGGTCAAGATGTGTAGCATGACCAAGGCGATCGGGAGGAATCGTAAGCATCGAAGCATGTTCTGGTATGTTTGCTTCGACCTTTGTTTTTTTAACGTAAATTTAAGCGGTTATCGAAACTAAAAAGAATCAAAAGTTTTGATATTATTCACCTCGCCAAAGTGTAATGTAACTTTCAATCCGTGTTCCTTCGCTTTTATGAAAGCGGGTTTGACATTGTCTATATGCCCTTTCTGTTATCCAATGAAAGACAATTCTTGAGAAAAATAAAACGCATTGAATTGAGAATCGTTTCTTTAAAAGATGACTTACACTAGTATCACCACAAAGATCAACACCTACAATACCTCTATTCTTATATCTGATAGCCAAATTCACAGTTTCCATAGCTTCCTCCAAAGTATTTCGACGATCTACACTAAGTATTAACTTAACAATAATTCCATGTTCTGAATATGAAAATTTCTGAATGACAGACGTTACGACACATACGTATGATTCTTTGGTCATCCCTTTATTAAATCACGCGTTTTGATTAGAACGGTGAATCACGTGAATTAAATGGTTCATAGAGGTATTTACCATTTTTATCATTTCGAGGCGTTGTCCTTAATTCCAGATATTTAACTCCATCTTTTTTAAAGTCATGTATTACAGATTCAGTAATATAACCAATTGATTCTTCATCATCAGTTAGTTGGTAAATGAAATTGAAAATAGGAAAAAAACTATTGGAAAAAGAGAGGTTTCTTTAAAATAAATAAAAATAATAATAATAAGTTTTGCACCAAATATCGTACTCATCAATAACATCTAATTTTCTTTTCGGTATTATAAATTGTGCCAAATGAGGTTTCTTTTCTTTCTTTCGTTCTACTAACTGTTGAAGTGTTTCCGGACTTATTGAGCCATTAATATGTGCATGAACTTCCTATATATTGAGAAACGTGTCAATATGGTTTCAATTTTTTCGACATAATTAATACATATATATATATATATATATATACAATTTTTGGCATATCTTTACAATATTTTTCTAAATTTTCGAGACTTCCATATTGAGATAAAATACTTGTAGTTTCTACCATTATCAAATATTTTTAATGCGAAATCGTTGTGGGCTTTCGTCTTATATAAGCGCAATTATGTGATTATCAAGGGATATCCGTATAGTCACAAATTGTTAATGTTACGCAGAATTTCGCTATTGTCACATATATCTTTGGGGAAATTTTTAAATATATTTGAATATTGTGCATTATAAAAATATTACGTAACAAATAAGTGCATTTAAATTATTTTCCGTCATTTTAAATAATAAACAGACAGTAAATACAGGAAATTAAAGAATATAGTAGAGGAGAGTCGAGATACATATTTTTATTTGATATTAATTAAGTTAATCAATGGTATTTTTATTCGTTTAGTTAGTAAATGTTAAGAATAAAAATGAATGTTTAGAGATTTACTAAATAAAGTTATTGTGTAACGCAACGTATGATTGATCATACAACTACGAAAATTGGGCGAGAATTAGGTATTCGCAATGTTTGATATTCCGAAATGACTTCTTTGGTCAAATTGAGTCTCATTTTTGCGTCGAATAAATAAAATCACAAGTCACCAATACAAGCGAAACTCAAATAACAATGTCTTTCGTCATCACCGTGGTTAGGGAAACATGGATGGAGGCAACACTTTGCTAGGTTTTAAACTGGAAAATCTTGCGAGTGGTTCATTTTTATTGTTTTTATGTCATAGATTCGTTCATATGTTCTGTGATTCAATTACAGGGAGATGAAAATCTAAACCATTCTTGCCCGTATTATTCAAAGACATTAAGCAACGGATCCCTTTTAATAAAGCATATGGAAGATGACCATTTACATAAGAAACGAATTCAAAGTAAAGAGTGCAGCGGAAGATTAGTATTCTCAACGAAATATCAGCATGTAAAAAAAATCATTTATATAAGGCCAAATAGGTTGATTGTTTTGATAGAAATTGTACGTTACTTGCGATGTATTTTGTTCTAATTCTAACTCCGGTTTTATATGGTTATAATAAAAAATAATTTTGCTTTAAAATATTATAACTTCAAACTCCTTAAGATTTTCGAATTAGATATTTTTGTTCCCTAACGAAAAAGAACACGTGCGATTGCGTCCCATTCATGTCTTTCACCACAACGCCATAATAATGACAAACCACCATTTACATATTTTTCATAAACCACCTTTTTTAGTTGCAATTTGTTTGGCATCTTCAAGAGTAAAGTTTACATTGCGGTCCTATTGTACCATACATCATAAGAAAATTAAATGGAAAATTTCAGAAAGTAAATTTCAAATAATTTTCAAGTAACGCATCATTCAATAAACAATGTCGTTCGTCATAAATTAAAGTCATAGTTAATGTTAGATATTTCGATCAATTCAAAAAATTTTCATTATATCATTCCAAAGACTGCTATTCAATTGTATAATGAACATTTTAATAATTGATTTCTTGAATTCAAAAATTCTTTGAAAGATTTTTTTTTTGTAATATGACATTCCATTTAACAATGTTTTATGAATTATTTACTAAAATAAATAAATAAATTCATCCATTTAAAGGATTAAAACTTACTATATAGTCGGCCTTAACTTAGTTCGATTTTCTGAAGCAGGGCAATATGGAGAAAAGTCTTTTTTCTTCCAAGAACAATAGGAAATTATCGGTAGTTTAGCGGGTTTTTATATTAAACGCGGGAAATAATGGTACCGGGAGGGTATATCTAAAAAAAAAAAAAAGAATTATGAAGAGTACGAATGACTTCTTTTGTAACAAGAGTGATGCAATGGAAAATATATATTGCATCATCGTTGAACCTTTTTTTCCCTTAAGCTCTTTTTAAGTTGAAAATTTCTTTTGTAAATCGTTCGTTTAGCTGTGCTGATTCATAATGTATTATCTGTTAACCCCAAAAAAAGAATTATTTAGAATAATGAATAAATTGACTTCAGATATTTTATTGCATTATCGTTTGTCTTTTCTAACAGTTGAATGATTTATGATGTATTAATCGGACCTAGAAAAAGTTTGCCTTCGTTCTCTGATTCATTTATCTGAAGAATCATGGAGCGACCTTGTAAATACCTTAAACAACAAAAATTGAACTGTTTAAGTCACAAATAAATTTTTTCATAGATAAATTATAAAAATACATTAATTCATTTATACCATATATATATATTTATTAACTAATTGTTACTACTAATTTTTTTTTTTAAATGAAATTGTTGAGCCCGGAGCACTTTTCAAATCAATAGATATCATTGGTTTAATATCACGTGAGCGGACAGAGAAACATTTTCCCCATCCTTAATCTACACCCCGGGCATCCTTAACCTAGGGAGGGTGTAGACCTTTATCCTAAACTGCAACTGTATATTTCATGTGATATATACATTAAAAGTATTTATTTATACATGGATGGGGTTGGACGATAAGGGTCTACACCTCCTCCGTAGGTTAAGGACGCCCCTATAAAAAAATTCACTACCACGTGATCATAGTAAAATATTCGTCACACTACATCAAACCCGCAGCAAAAATTACCTTCTTGACCTGTACGACATCCTTTATGATAACACGAGGTGGGTCAAGAAGGTAATATTTGCGTCAGAGCATATCTGCCAGGTTAACTTATATGGGTAAGATCTGCACTATTTTTCACTCTGTCACACCAATGCGGTGAAGCATAATTTCTATTTATTTTTTGGACTTAGTTTTTTTCATCGTAGTGTGAACCCTATTTGTCACATATTATTTGTCACTTGGGTGGTCAGCCCGACCATGATTTCATGGTCGGCTGACCACTTAAAATGGCACACATTTCAGACGTGCATGTCAGACATCTGTGTCAGGTTTATGGCGCAGCGATGACAAATAACATGTGACGAATAGGATTTAGACCACTCAAAAAAACTGTTGCTGAAATAAATATAATAAATATAAAAAATGCGTCACGACAATCACGTGATTACGTGACAGTTAACCATCTACCCCAGTATCGCCAGAAAATTTTTTCACCCCTGACCAGCATTACGAAATTATGAAATTAGCCATGTGACGAATATAGAGTGACAAATAGGTTTTTAAACACCGAAAAAATTCTAAGTAAAAATTGAAAACTTGAGGGTGT